TTTGCGGTACGCGGGCCTCTCACTGTTGTGGCCTTTCCCGTTGCGGAGCACAGGCTCCGGACGCGCAGGCTTAGCGGCCATGGCTCACAGGACCAGCCGCTCCACGGCATGTGGGATCTTCCCGGACCGGGGCACGAACCTGTGTCCCCTGCATCGGCAGGCGGACTCTCAACCACTGCGCCTCCAGGGAAGCCCAAGCATTTTCTTTTGTATTTTAATTATCCCTTTCTAAAGGTTTCAAAATGGACGTGTATTAAGAGGGTTGCTAGCTTAAAGCTACGTTTCCTTCAGCTGCCTCAGGGGTTAACCGGGTTTTCTACGAACAGGTCTAACATCTTCACTGTCTTTACAAAGTTGTAGTATCAAGTCCCTACTCCATCTTAACATAGAATTAATATACTCACATTTGTGTTGCTTTGTGGTTTTCAGGGTGCTTCCCCTATCTTCTGATTTTGGCCTCACCACTCTGAGATGTGGGCAGAGTGCTTTTCTCTCTGTTTTGCAGGTGATGAAACAGGCACAGGGGATAAGTGATTTGTCCAAGGTGGTGATGCCAGTAAGTAGTAGAGGTGCAAGTAGAACCCCGTTTCCTGAGGCCTGGTTAAAAGCTTTCACTCAACCATGTTGTAGAAAATGCGCCACAGCTAGACACACAGGTGTTGTTTATATCTCCGAGCTTCTCTGTGGTTTTCAGTGGCATAAACACGCACAGCCCATAGCAAATCTCTAGCTTGTAGAAGGGCTTCTTTGTATTCTGTCCTACCCTCTGTCGTGCGAAGGTGAGTTCATTTTAGTGGGAAAAGGGAGGGAACTAAGAATGTTTATCAGGTGATGGCGGTTTCTGGTCGTTGTGCGAGATGCCTGATGTAATTATCTCCTTTAATCCTCCTGAGGGTTCTGAGGGGCTGTCACTGCCAAAGACTGCCCTCTGTTGTGGGCGAGGAGTCTGAGCCTCAGCGGGCTCAGTGACTTGCCCACGTTCGCCAGTAAGCGGCAGTCGGGATTCAAATCCAGGTCCGTCTGGCTTGTACATCCATGGTCTTTAAACTCACCCTCAGGCTTACTTTAGGGCAGTTAGTGGTCAATATCACGGTTGATTTAAGTTATTAGTAACACTCCCTTTAATAGGTCCCAAGATTACAGTAATAATAAGGTAAGAGATAACAGTAACCCATGTTACTAAATCAATAGGCTTGTGAAATTGAATATGGGGGAAAAATACAAGTTTTCCTTTAATAGTAAGTTCTTCCAGGATAGTGGCTAGAAGCGATTTTGTTCTCTTTTATTGGTCACAGTCTGTAATGTGTGATTAGTTTGGGTTCCTGTATCGGGGAACGTGTAGCCATCACTGTGCCTCTAGTTCTGTTGTAAACTGAAAAACTGTTGGAAGTTGGCTCCACCATTAACGGCCAGACTGGGATGCTGCCACCAAATGAACAGGAGACACTAGAGGAGACCCTAGGATCTCAGTTAAGGTCAAGACCTGATTCCTTAGTTGGCCGGGGACTTCAAGGCCGTCAAGTCTACAAGGATAAAAAAGCAGTGTGGCTCCACAGCTTTGTACCTTCACCTGGCAGTGACTGTCCCCAGTGACTGCAGGGTCAGACTGACCTCCCAGCAGTCATTGCAGAAGAGCTTGGGCTATGTGTGCCCTTACTCAGGCAAAACCTTTGATGGGCCACTCCTCCTCTATCTCAGGAAACCAACTCATCCCTTTGATACTTAAAGGCAGGGCCAGTGAGCTAAGAGTTACTAAGTTAACTATATATCAGGTGTGATACCTGCATGTTTACCTAAGTTATCTTAAGGAATCTTATACCAGTTCTGGGAGATGGGTATTATCCCCTTTTACAGACGAGGAAACTGAGTTTCAGAGAGGATGAGTAACTTGCCCAGTATCCAGTTTCTAACGTGATCTGATGGGCTTTGCCAAGGTTTTCCGGGCAGTGTTTCTTGCACTGGACCGTTGGGCTCCAGGATGTCGTCAGTTTTCTTTCCTGCCTGGGGAAATACAGCTAGTCCTCGTGCATCAGGTACCTGAGTAAACTTAGGTGAGGTGATTCTACCAGCTGGAAAGGCACCTAGGGCCTTCATTTTGATGAAACAAGGTAGGACCAGAAGCTCTCACGGCCGATGAAAAATGGCTGTGTTTTGAGGGCCTAGGCTCGGAAATCCCGAGGCAGAGTGATGGTTCTGAGGATGCCACCAAGGTGGGCTGCAGTTAATCAGGAGTCGGGATGGGGCTCATGGAATTCGGCAGCGCTAGGTGCAATCTTTTGAGCTTCAGGGAGAAAGAGTCTCATGGACCTCACTACCAGAAGGAGTAAGTTTTCCTGGCCTGAGGGAAAGTAGATTTTAAAAGTCCAAGATTTAAATCTCAGGAGACTCAACAAGTACCAGGGTCTGAGAGCTCTCAGCAATAGAGGACTTCGTTCAAAGGAAACCTCTCAGAGTCCCAGTCGCCTTGAGAGCGTTCAGCTGGGAGGGCTGGCTGGGCCTTTACAGAATTCAGGTGCCTTGGCTTTGGGGCTGAAAGTGTAAGAGATCTAGGTCCTCGGTTCCCAAATCTGGACAGTTAACAGTTTCACGTGGTCATTTTTTTTTTTTTAAGAGTAAAGATTGCTAGGCATCATCCCCAGAGATTGATTCTGAAGCGAGGCCTCAGAATTGTATTTTCAGACGTTTCCTCGGTGTCACTGAAGGTCAGCCAAGTTTGAGAACTGCTCCTGGAGGTGATGACCCTGGCGCAGGTGCCTCAGACCCAGCAGTGGGCTGTTCTCAAATTGTGGCAGGGGAGAAGGTGGTTTAGGAAAAAAAAAAAACTTTGTGTAATTACAAAAAGCAAAATATGGCTGACGGGGTTACCAAAGGTCAAGTGAGAAAACTTTATAGGTCATGGGTTTTTAAAGGCCAAGAAACAGCTAAATAAAGGCTGTTCTCTAACGTGAAACCAGGATTTCCACCAGTAGGGTATCCGTGTGAGGTGGGGTTTTTTGTTTTGTTTTTTAAATGTATTTATTTATTTATTGGCTGCGTTGGGTCTTCGTTGCTGCATGCGGGCTTCTCATTGCGGTGGCTTCTCTTGTTGCGGAGCACGGGCTCTAGGCGCGCAGGCTCACTAGTTGTGGCTCGCGGGCTCTAGGGCGCAGGCTTAGTAGTTGTGGCGCATGGGCTTAGTTGCTCCGCGGCACGTGGGATCCTCCTGGACCAGGGCTCGAACCCATGTCCCCTGTATTGGCAGGAGGATTCTTAACCACTGCGCCACCAGGGAAGCCCTTGGGTAGTGTTTTTACATCCACAGCAACTTTTACCACACCTGCTAAACCCGTTGTAAATATTTGCTTAATTTACCCTTTATCCTAATGAACCAAACCAAGACCAGAGAACCAGCAATAGTAGAGATTCCCTGCCTGTCATTAAACATGGAAGATAACAGGGGCAGGGAAAATGTAAATACATAGCCTAAACCCTCCTTTCTGGTTCTACTTTATAGTTATTCATGTATTGAACATAAATAAGTGTGCTGGTCAGCAGTCGTGCTGGGCTGGGCTGATAGAGCTGGCTTGTCGACTGTTGTAGTGACAAGTAGCAATAATTAACGTGACAGTAGAAAGTCATACTTTTTGCTAATAAGATGTTTAGCAGGTGAGAGGAAGTATAAATGATTCATTTCATTAAGTATGTATCCCTGGATCATCTGGGCACTATATTCATCGGATTGGAAATGGATCTAGGTCCTGATCCCCAGGGTCCCTTAGTCTGTCGAAGAACCTTTTCTTGATGTGGAATAGACAGCTTTGACCTTCAGTGGTTACCAGTTAGCCACAGCCCAAGGCAGACATTAATCCACCTACTTAGAATATACCTTTCCTGCAGCCTCGCCCTGGGAACCTTGGGCACTAAGTGTTGGGGAAGAGGATGGATTTAAATGAATTATCACAGTGACTGTTTGGAACCCTAGTTCCTTTGTTGGAAAGAAGTTCGACGGCGGTAAGAAGTTTGGAAGCCCCGGCCAGGCTCACAACCTCCAGCTTTTCTCTAAGGAGGCTCTTGGGAGCTGTCCAAACAGGTGAGGCTGGAATCACGACTGCTGGGCTCTGTTGCTGGTTCCAGGCATTTGGAGAACTTTCTCTTCCTTTAGCCATGGTTGTTACAGCAGGCTCGAGAAAGAGAAGAGGACACCCTTGTAGTCTTACTGCTCTTCTGCCTGGCTGTTTTCATCCGGGAGGCTCATGTAATTAAAAGCACCGAAGCTGGGCTTCCCTGGTGGCGCAGTGTTTGAGAGTCCGCCTGCCGATGCAGGGGACACGGGTTCGTGCCCCAGTCCGGGAAGATCCCACATGCCGCGGAGCGGCTGGGCCCGTGAGCCATGGCCGCTGAGCCTACGCGGCCGGAGCCTGTGCTCCGCAACGGGAGAGGCCACAACAGTGAGAGGCCCGTGTACCGCAAAAAAAAAAAAAAAAAAAAGCACCGAAGCTAATAATAGCAGCTACCACTTATCGAGCAGCTTTCATTTATTCAGGACTTAACCCTGCCTCTCTGCCGCCCTCCCGTCTCTGCCTTCCCCACGTTGATTGTCCCCAAGCCAGGAAGGCGCAACCTCAACTAGACCAGCTGTATTCATCTCCTCCCCACGAAAGACTTTAACCAAACTCCCCAAAATAAGAGTGACTAATTTAAATTTATTAAAATTAAGGTCTTTGGGTTTTAGCCTTTTCATCATACGTGCAATATAGTGGTATGTAAATTCTTTGCAATTCCTTTGCCTAAGCTAACCGGGTAACTTGAGTCCCTCACAGATAAGGGCCCCTAGGGGCCTTTGCCTCTAACAGTGAGACCTGCTTCTCTTTGAACAGGCTGGATCAGGTGTCGCACCACCGTGCAGAACAGAGGAGTCGGTGGCATCGTGATGCTCTTCACAGGGTGCTTCGTCCTTTGTTGTAGCTGGAGCTTCAAGCATCTGAGTAAGCCTTTCTCTATTTTTAGCCTAAATTACAGGTCACATCCCATTATAGGCACCTCCAAGGGATTTTCCCAACTGCTTTTTTGTTTTTCAGTTTTGCATTATCTGACATGCCCTAGAGAATGAGCTGTTGCCTGAGAGGGTTCTTTTGGAGGTTTTTTTAGTGGGGGTTTTGGTTATAGTGGCCTTTATAAGATTTGACTAGAATTTACATAACTGCTGTTATGCTCCATTTAAGATTGTCACTGGAGATCTGGAAAGCTTTGTGTTTTCTCCTTAAAGCTATTTGCCTGTTAGAAGATCAGCGCTCTTCTCCAAGGTGACTTTTTAATTCCTATGTAAGAGCTTCCTTTTAGGATTGAAACCAAATAGCTTTATCCCCCAAAAGAGAGGAGGAGAAGCGAAATACAGCTGTCACTCATCCGTGTGTCTTAAGGCTTAGAGCTGTTTTATTTACTCCACTTTTAACATTAAAAGCACAACACCTTTCTAGTGACGCGTTTCAGCTTGCTCCAAATCTTACCAGAAAGAAAATGCCTAGATTTCATTGCTCTTTTAGTTCCAGATAACTTTTGCTCACTTTTTAAAGTATTGTTTTATGAAAGAAGAAAAACAGAAATAGCCCAGTATTCTTCCACAATTTAAAAACAAAAAAACCCAGACGCTTTCCAGATGAAAATTTTCAGTGTAAAAGTGTAAGATAATCATTAACACTGGAGGCCAGTAGAATTCACAAGCTTCTAAAATGTCAGATTTGACTCTAACTGGATTTGTTGGCTAATTCAGTACCAGTACATAGGGCGCAGGTCAAGCAGCGGGAATGTGTCTGCACCAAACTCTTGCATCCGGACTAGCAGGGCATAGCTGCTGGCCCTTGTCTAATATGCATGGCCATCGGTGAGAAAGAGGAATTCCTTTCTGATCATCCCCGCATAAACGGAGATGCCTAAAATCCCAAGTCATTTCTTTCACAGGGAAAAAGCCTTCCCTGAAAGTTCTGCCCGCCTGAAGGAGACCATTTAGGTGATGCTTGAGGTTATTTTTCACATCTCTAAATTGAGACTGAAGAAAGTGAGACAGAAACTTCTCATTTTGCTTAAGACTTTACTTCTAAATTTATAAAACAAAAATATAACAATGATCTGTAGAGTCAAGACGTAGAAACAGTCAACAGAATGGCCTCTTAGATCCTTGTGTTTATCTTTGTTTATCGTAAGAGCTGCAGCGCTGGTGTAAGTAGCATCGACCTGGACACCACGTAAGAAAGCTTTGGCGCTCCAAGGCAGGAACAGTGGAGATGGCTGCGGTGCGAATTTAACAGTGGAAACGTACTGGGGGCAGGGGAGAGCGTGAAAAGAATAAAATTACTGGAATCTAGCAACTCTGTAGGAAGCCAGTTTTTTAATGTGGACAGATCTGGTTCTGTCTGGATATTTCTTTTGGCTTGTTCTCAAAAGTGACAGAGTTACTGAAAAAAACTTAAGTTTGTTTAATCATAAAGGCTGATGTTATTCAAGGAGACAAGAAGATGGCAGAGTTCGTCATTAAAATTTTTTAATAGCTATTTCCTAATAGCTCATATCTCAATTTTAAATCTTTCTCTCTAAACTTATTCTCTATATCTTGGCATTTTACTGTTCATCTCCACTAGATACTCGGCTACGTGTACACTGGTACAGAATAGTATGTGAAGTGGCAGGAGATCAGCACACATCAGACCCCTCCCCTTGGAAATGGTTAGGCTCTTCTGGGTCCTTGACCACATCTTGGCAGGTGTCAGAAACATAAAAGCAGAGGGTGGGTTCAGAGTTGCAGGTGAGCCTCTGAAAACTCCTTGGCAGGTTATATTTTAAGCTAATTAAAGCAGCACACTAAACAGAAGCCTAAATCACCTTTTCCACATCTTAAATGAGTATAATAGTGAGCAAATGGTTTCTGCTTATCATCTCTTCTTGGAAGCTTTTCAGAACTCCACCCCTATCCCTTCCCAAGAATTTCAGTGCAATACTCAAACATTCCTCCCACTTTGTTAGGGTTGTTTTTGGCTGGTGGGGTTTTTATGTCTCTTCCCTCATCAGAATATTCCATATTTTTCTAATTTTCTGCTTTGGCACCTAGAGAATAACTTGGGTACTTACAAAGGCTTCAGGGAAATGTAATGTAGATCTCACAGATGGATAACGGTTTTCAACCTCTTTTCCAACATCAGAGGTTGATTACATATCAGATAGCAATATGCCCCTATCAATCAGTTGATGGGTCTGTCTGTATCTTCCCTTTGCTTGTAATATCCTCAGGCCAAAATACATGTGTTCAGTCCCTCTTTTGTCCCAGCTCCTTCAAAACTATGAAAAAGCAGGTGTGCTGTTCTAAGGCCAGCGTTCATGTATTTGCACACCTCTTCCTTCTCTCTTCCCAGAACTCGATGCTGACTTATCTTCTGCTGTATCTCCCTTTTCTGTTCTTCAGCCCCCTGTCCCCGCCTCCGCCTCTCTAATTATCCCCAGTGGGAGTAATTTAATTCTGCATCAAATTCTTATGGTTAAGGAAAAGGTGTGCTAGAATTCTCCATAAGGAAAAATTCACGGTTGAGGAAGAGTATACTAGAGGCAGTTATTTTAGTTTAATATGACAGAATTTTCAGAACTCCAAAAACAGTATCTTGCCTTTAGGAAAGGCTTTGTGGTCTTTCTTTGTAAATGCCCTGTAAGAGACACGGTCAGGGAGGGGTCTCCCTGCACCTGCCCCTTTGCCTTACTCTAGATCAGAAATGCTCAGGGTACAAAGGTAGGTGAGAATGATCTCTCAGCTATGTCCTCTTCCCCAATCCCCTTGAGCCCAGGGGTCAGCAGACCACGACAGCCCACAGACACAAGCCAGCATGTGGCCTATTTTTTGTAAATAAAGTCTCCGTGGGACACAGCCCTGCGTCTTTGGTTAGGTGATGGCTGTGGCTGCTTCCACACTGCAGTGGCAGAGTTGAGTTGTTGCAACAGAGACCATAGACCCTGCAAAGCTGAAAATGGTTATTCTCTGGCCCTTTACAGAAAGCGTGCCAAGCCCTGCCCCAGATGGACAGGACACCTCACGGGCTCCTGTGTCGGAGGGATGAAGAGGACTGGGGATCTCCGCTCCGAAGTATTTAGTTAGGAAACGCGTTTCAGGAGGAGAAGCCTTTCTGGACTCAGTACCTAAGTGCCTGAGTGTTGCCCCCTCAGCTCCCCACAGCATGTGAGTGCAGTGGTGACGGCAAGAGTAAGCTCACAGCCCCCCAGGGTTGTCATCAAGATCATTTTTGTCCCTAACTGTAAGTAAACTAGCGCCACTTGTTGCAATCAGAATGCTAAAACATCATGAAAGGGTTTAACTCGGTTAGATCACAGTGAATACTTTACATCTCTGAAAATAAGTTCCTTAATGAGAAAAACGAACTACTTAATGACCCATGAGTCCTGAAGGGATATCTGCTGCTTATTGCCCGGTATGTTGTGTTAGTTTCAGCTGTACAGCATGGTGATGCAGTTACACATATATATCTATCTTTTTATGTATACGTATTCTTTTACAGATACCTTTCTCTTATAGTTTATTACAAAATTTCAAATAGAGTTCCCTGTGCTACAAGTAGGTCCTTGTTGATTATCTATTTTATATAGAGTGGTGTGTATCTGTGAATCCCAACCTCCTACTTTATCCCTCCCTGCCCCCGCCCTTTTCCCCTTTGGTAACCATAAATTTGTTTTCTACGTCTGTGGGTCTTTTTCTGTTTCGTATATAAGTTCATTTGTATCATTTATTTTTTGTAGATTCCCCATATAAGCGATATCATATATTTGTCTTTCTCTGTCTGGCTTACTTAGTATGATCATCTCCTAAGTCCATCCACGTTGCTGCAAATGGCATTATTTCGTTCTTCTTTTTTTTTTTTTTATAAATTTATTTATTTTTTTGGCTGTGTTGGGTCTTCATTTCTGTGCGAGGGCTTTCTCTAGTAGCGGCGAGCGGGGGCCACTCTTCATCGCGGTGTGCGGGCCTCTCACTGTCGCGGCCTCTCTCGTTGCGGAGCACAGGCTCCAAACGTGCAGGCTCAGTAGCTGTGGCTCACGGGCCTAGTTGCTCCGTGGCATGTGGGATCTTCCCAGAGCAGGGCTCGAATCCGTGTCCCCTGCATTGGCAGGCAGATTATCAACCACTGCGCCACCAGGCAAGCCCTACTTCGTTCTTTTTAATGGCTGAGTAATATTCCATTGTATATATGTACCATATCTTCTTTATCCATTCCTCTGTCAATGGACATTTAGGTTGCTTCCATGTCCTGACTATTGTAAATAGCGCTGCTGTGAACATTGGGGTACATGTATCTTTTCAAATCATGGTTTTCTCCAGATATATGCCCAGGAATGGGATTGTAGGATCATATGGTAGCTCTATTTTTAGTTTTTTAAGGAACCTCCATACTGTTGTCCATAGTGGCTGTACCAATTTACATTCCCACCAACAGTGCAAGAGGGTTCCCTTTTCTCCACACCCTCTCCAGCATCTATTTTTTAAAATACATTCTTTTTATTTTTTAATCAACACCTTAATAGATTCACAATTACTTTATCTGTACTGATCCTTTTTGTTTTTGGGGGTTTTTTGGCTACATCGCGTCTTAGTTGCGGCATGGGGATCTTTCGTTGCGGTGTGTGGGCTTCTCTCTACTTGTGGCACACAGGCTCTAGAGTACGTGGGCTTAGCTGCCCCGTGGCATGTGGGATCTTAGTTTCCCAACCAGGGATCTAACCTGGGCCCCCCTGCAGTGGAAGCATGGAGTGCTAACCACTGGACCTCCAGGGAATTCCCTCTAGCATTTATTATTTGTAGAGTTTGATGATGGCCATTCTGACCAGTGTGAGGTGATACCTCATTCTAGTTTCGATTTGCATTTCTCTAATAATTAGCCATGTTGAGCATTTTTCATGTGCCTTTGGCCATCTGTATGTGTTCTTTGGAGAAATGTCCATTTAGATCTTCTGCCCATTTTTTGATTGAGTTGTTTATTTTTTGGATATGGAGCTGTTTGTGTATTTTGGAGATTAATCCCTTGTTGGTTGCATCATTTACAAATATTTTCTCCCATTCTGTAGGTTGTCTTCTTGTTTATGGTTTCCTTTGCTGTGCAAAAACTTTTAAGTTTAATTAGGTCCCATTTGTTTGTTTATATTTTCATTATTCTATAAGATCCAAAAAGACACTGCTGCAATTTATGTCAAAGAGTGTTCTGCCTATGTTTTCCTCTAGGAGTTTTATAGTATCCAGTTTTACACTTAGGTCTTTAACCTACTTTGAGTTTATTTTTGTGTGTGGTGTTAGAGAATGTTCTAATTTCATTCTTTTATATGTAGCTGTCCAGTTTTCCCAGCACCACTTACTGAAGAGATCTTCTCCGTTGTATATTCTTGCCTCCTTTGTCATAGATTAATTGACCATGGGTGCGTGGGTTTATTTCTGGGCTTTCTGTCGTGTTCCATTGATCTATCTTTCTGCTTTTGTGCCAGTGCCATACTGTTTTGATGACTATAGCTTTATAGTATACTCTGAAGTCAGGGAAGCTGATTCTTCCAGCTCTGTTTTTCTTTCTCAAAATTGCTTTTACTCTTCTGTGCTTTGGCTATTTGGGGTCTTTTGTGTTTCCATATAAATTGTAAAATTTTTTGTTCTAGCTCTGCAAAAAATGCCACTGGTAATTTGATAGGGATTGCATTGAATCTGTAGATTGCCTTGGGTAGTATAGTCATTTTGACAATATTGTGTGTGTGTGTGTGTGTGTTACGTGGGTCTCTCACCATTGTGGCCTAGTATAGTCATTTTGACAATATTGTGTGTGTGTGTGTGTGTGTGTGTGTGTGTGTGTTACGTGGGTCTCCCACCATTGTGGCCTCTCCCGTTGCGGAGCGCAGGCTCAACGGCCATGGCCCACGGTCCCAGCTGCTCCGCAGCATGTGGGATCTTCCCAGACCATGTCTCCTGCATCAGCAGGTGGACTCCCAACCACTGCGCCACCAAGGAAGCCCCATTTTGACAATATTGATTCTTCCAATATAAGAACGTGGTATATATTTCCATCAGTTGTGTCATCTTTGATTTCTTTCATCAGTGTCTTTTAGTTTTCAGAGTACAGATTTTTTCCTTCCCTAGGTAGGTTTATCCCTAGGTATTTTATTAGGTTGGCCAAAAAGTTCGTTTGGGTTTTTCCGTAACATCTTACCAAACTTTCTGGCCAACCCGATATTATTTTTGATACGATGGTAAATGAGATTGTTTCCTTTATTTCTCTTTGTGATCTTTCATCGTTAGTGTTTAGAAATGCAGATTTCTGTGTATTAATTTTGTATCCTGCAAGTTTACCAAATTCATTCATGAGCTCTAGCAGTTTTTTGTTAGAGTCTTTAGGATTTTCTGTATATAGTATCATGTCATCTGCAAACAGTGACAGTTTTACTTCTTTTCCAAATTGGATTCATTTCTTTTTCTACTCTGATTGCAGTGGCTAGTACTTTCAAAACTATGTTGAATGAAAGTGGCAAGAGTGGATATCCTTGCCTTGTTCCTGATCTTAGAGGAAATGCTTTCAGCTTTTCGCCATTGAGTGTGCTGTTAGCTGTGGGTTTGTCATATACGGCCTTTATTATCTTGAAGTAGGTTCCCTCTGTGCCCATTTTCTGGAGAGTTTTTATTGTCAATGGATGTTGCGTTTTATCAAAAGCTATTTCTGCGTCTATTGGGTGATCATATGGATTTTATTCTTCAATTTGTTAATGTGCTGTTTCACACTGATTGATTTGCAGATATTGAAAAATCCTTGTATCCCTGGGATAAATGCCACTTGATCATGGTGTATGATCCTTTTAATGTACTGTTGGAGTCAATTTGCTAGTACTTTGTTGAGAATTTTTGCGTCTGTGTTCATCAGTGATATTGGCCTGTAATTTTCTTTTTTTGTGGTATCTTTGTCTGGTGTTAGTATCAGGGTGATTGTGGCCTCATTGAATGAGTTTGGAAGTGTTCGTTCCTCTGCAGTTTTTTGGAATAGTTTCAGAAGGATTGTGTTAACTCTTCTCTAAATGTTCAATAGAATTCGCCTGTGAAGCCATCTGGTCCTGGACTTTTATTTTTGGGGAGTTTTTTAATCACAGATTCAATTTCAGTACTTGTAATTGGCCTGTTCATATTTTGTTTCTTCCTGGTACAGTCTTGGGAGATTGTAACTTTCTAAGAATTTGTCCATTTCTTCTAGGTTGTCCATTTTATTGGCATAGAGTTGTTGTAGTGGTCTCTTACATCAGTTGTAACTTCTCCTTTTTCATTTCTAATTTTTTTGGTTTGGGCCCTATCCCTTTTTTTCTTATGAGTTTGGCTAAAGGTTTAGCAATTTTGTTTATCTTTTCAAAGAATCAGCTTTTAGTTTCATTGACCTTTTTGTTTTATTAGTCTATTTATTTCTTCTGTGACCTTTATGATTTCTTTCCTTCTACCTGTTTTGTATTTTGTTTGTTCTTTAGTTGCTTTAGGTGTAAGGTTAGGTTGTTTGAGACTTTTCTTGTTTCCTGAGGTGAGCTTGTATCACCATAAACTTCCCTGTTAGAACTGCTTTTGCTGCATCCCGTAAGTTTTGGATCCTTGTGTTTTAGGTTTCGTTTGTCTCTAGGTGTTTTTTGATTTCCTCAGTGATCCATTGGTTGTTCAGAAGCATATTGTTTAGCCTCCACGTGTTTGTTTCCCGCCTAGAGAAGTTGCTTTAGCATTTGTTGTAAAGCTGGTTTGGTGGTGCCAGTCCTTAAGCTGTTGCTTTCTCTGTCAAATCTAAATGAGAGCCTTGCTGGGTAGAGTGATCTTGGTTTTAGGTTTTTCCCTTTCATCACTTTATATTGTGCCACTCCCTTTTGGCCTGCAGAGTTTCTGCTGAAAAATCAGCTGATAACCTTATGAGAATTTCCTTGTTGCTTTTAATATTTTCTCTTAATCTTTAATTTTTGTCATTTTTATTACTGTGTGTCTCGGCATGTTCCTCCTCCTTCTTCTTCTGGGACCCCTATAATGTGAATGTTGGTGCATTTGATGTTGTCCCAGAGGTCTCTTCAACTGTCCTCATTTCTTTTCATTCTTTATTCTGTTACACAGCAGTGATCTCCACCATTCTGTCTTCCAGTTCACTTACTCCTTCTTCTGCCTCATTTATTCTGCTATTGATTCCTTCTAGTGTATTTTTCATTTCAGTTATCGTATTCTCAACTCTGGTTGTTCTATTTTCTCTTTCTTAAAACTTCTTGTAGCTCCTCACTCTGCATGCATTCTTTTCCCAAGTTCTTTGCCTCGGTTCGCAGGCTGCAAGATGGTAGTTTTCTTGCTTCCGGTGTCTGCCCCCAGTGGGTGAGGCTGGTCTAGAGGCTTGTGCAGGCTTCCTGGTGGGAGGGGCCCGTGTCTGCCCTCTGGGTGGGGCAGGGCTGTAACAGGGGGCACGTTGAGAGGTGTCTGTGGGCTCAGGGAGTTTTTAGGCAGCCTGTCTGCTGATGGCTGGGGCTGTGTTCCCTCTGGGTTGGTTGGTCGGTTGGCCTGAGGCCTCCCAGCACTGGCGCCTGTAGGCTGTTGGCTGGACCCGGGTGCTGGCGCTAACTAACCCGGGTGGGCCTGGCCCAGGCTTCTGCCGAGTCGCCGCCCGGGTGGGCCTGGCCCAGGCTTCTGCCGAGTCGCCGCCCGGGTGGGCCTGGCCCAGGCTTCTGCCGAGTCGCTGCCCGGGTGGGCCTGGCCCAGGCTTCTGCCGAGTCGCTGCTTTTGTCCTGGGTCCTGGTGCTCTGCACCCTCCAAGAGTGGGGTCTCTGCTTCCCTCACTCCTGTGGGGCTCCTGCAGTCAAACCCCACTGGCTTTCGAAGCCAAATGCTCTAGGGGCTCCTCCTCCGCTGCCAGACCCCCAGGCTGGGGAGCCTGACGTGGGGCTCTGAACTCTCACTCTTCTAGGAGGAAGCCTGTGATAGAATTATTCTCCAGTCTCTGGGTCACCCCCCAGGTGGTGTGGGAATAGATTGTGTCACAGGTGCACCCCCTCCTACCATCTCGTTGCGCTTCCTTCTTTGTCTTTGGATGTAGGATATCTTTTTTGGTAGGTTCCAGTCTTTTTTTAATCAATGTTTGTTCAGTTATTTGTGATTTGGGTGTGCTCGTGAGAGGAGGTGAGCTCAAGGTCCTTTCTACTCTGCCATCTTGTCTCTAGTCTGAATGGCTTTCTCCTGCTGGTAAGCCATCAGAATGAAGTGACCAAGTTTAGCAGGGCCTTGATCTCTGATATCTCCCAGTCTGTTTCTGTTCCAACCAAAATAGCATTTTCAGTTGTAGGTACCAACGTATTTAACATCACCTAAGGAATAGTTACTCTTCAGTTTCTGTTGTGGAATGTACTTAATTATCTCTTTTTTCTGGGCTTCCAGTGTGAATGTCTGTGTAAACTGTCTTTGTGACCTTGAGCCAGTGACTTAACCTCTCTGTGCCTTGGTGTCCTCATCTGGTGTTCGGCAGAGGTGCTTGGCAGCTGTACGTTGAGAGAGAGACAGCAGTCGACAGCCCCAGACCAGCTCCACCTTGACCCCAGGAATGTGCCTGTGCACATGAGCTGAGCATCGATTCTTAAAATGATGTGGGTGACTTTGAAAAAGCCGTCTGAAGTTTGTCCAGATTCTGGAATTATTTGATTACGTCCACAAAGTAACAGGGAAAGGTTTCCCTGTCTACGCATTGCTGCCATCTGAGGTAGGGAAATCCTTGACGACCTTTTATCGAGTCTTTTAATGATTTCTTAGTAATGTTCAAAATAGTTTGAGAGTTAAGGTCAGCTGATAACTGATTCTTTTCTTAGATTCAGATCTAAACAAACGCAGCATGATCCAGGGATATGCCTCTTGGCTCCAGTTCGCAATATTGTAAACTTGCCTTACGAGGATGCATTTGTTGTTCATACTACGACGTAAGTTTGTTTGCACAGCCAGGCCCACCCATTTATGTGATCTGGCAGATTCCAGGCTTCCTTAGGAAGACTAGAGGTTCTTTTCAAAGCTGGAGTTGTCCATGAGTGAGGCTCTGCTCCATGCAAAGCCAGTGTGCTTCAGCCAGGAGAGAGGAGCTCGTGTCTCCACAAAGCCAGGAGAGAAGTCTGGAATGCTCTTACCATGCTGTTCCGTTTTAAACAGCCTCCTACATTCTGTCTCTTAAATTGTGCTCCACATCTTCCCTGGCACTGGTGGGAGCTTCCCTGGGTAAACAGCAGTGCTCAGATTCTGCTTCCAGGGCAGCCGCGTGCCTTCCCAAACACGGCTTCCAGCAATGTGTGTAGAAACGCAGCCTGAGAATTCCCATCCACCCTGCAGGAGAGTTAACGGTGGTACCCAGGCTTCTCTCCATCCTCGAAGATTTACCGGGAAGGTTCGGTTACTGGAGGCTGCAAACATTCACAGGCACGTCTGGACACCCTGCTGTAATGCGCATGGTCTGTGTAAGGTGGGTTATCTCTGCTACCTACTTGAGTTTAATCCTGAGTGATGATACCTGAAACACTGCCTTTTTTCTATATATATTAAAATATTTAGCTATTAAGAATAAATCATTTTGTATTATCAGTGGAGTGTTTTATACTTTATGGGAAGCCCTATCTGCTGCTACTATTTCTTTCGGTCCTGTTTTTCCTGATTTACGGATTATCCAGTTACTCTCAGTACCTGCTCCCCCACCCCCACCATGTTCGTCCTACATATTACTGTTACCACGCTTCATAACAAAAATATGTTCAAAAAATATTCCTCTATTCTGGTTATTTGCCTCTCCCAGACACTTACCTGTGAAATGGGTAGTAGGTGTGTCCTTGGGCAAGTTATCTGACTTAATTGGAGCCTCCTTGGTCCGGACTGTAAAATGGGGATGATTATACCTACTTTGCAGAGATTTGGTTGAATTAAAAGTCTTGCATCTGTTAATTCCAGCAAAGTGTCACACATAATAGGAATGAAATAACAGCTTTTCTAACACCTCTTGTGGCCTCTTATTTCGTTCACATCCTGAACTTGAACTAAGCAAGAGAGGCCCCACCACAATCCACGCCAAAATCCAGCTGCCACCTGGGTGCTCACTTTTGTCATTCCAGCGCCGTGCAGCCTTCTTCACCTGCAGTCTCTCGTGAGGCCAGAGCTGCCACCACACTCGTTTTCTAGAATGAGGGAGCAGACTCGAGGAGGTTAAGTAATTTGCCTGCATGGCTGTGTAGAGTTTGTCACATAGCAGCCCAGGGTGGAGCTGGCGTTCAGACCTCCGAATCTGTCTCCAGGGCCGGCTATCCTCTTAGCCTCGGCCTCACCCTCCCGCTCCAGGCCGGATGAGCCAGCTGCCTCCGTCTGCCGAAGGCAGGGAGCCTGGTCCTACCGCGCACTGTGTGTCGTCCCTCTTCTTTCCATTCCTCCAAAAGGCGCAGCCTTGCCTCCCTGCTCCTTTCCCCGTGGATTAAGTTGCATTGGGGTTTGACTCAGACAGTGACCGAGACCACACGGCATTCACTGATCCATGTCACTTCCTTACGTCCCCGGGATAAGCCTCACTCGTACCATCCACCTCCCTGTAATTCCTTACAGAAGGCATGCACAGAATCTCGTCTTACACTTAGGGAAGCAGCTGTCATGCTAAAGAAACCACTTGATTTAATTGTTCGTTTACAGCAGCAGCTGAGGCCGTGTGCACAGGAAGGCCACGTGCCACCCAGAACTGTCGGCGGCGGGGCGGGAGCTAAGCACAGGGCACTGGCCGTCCCCATGTGCTCGAGCTCTTGGTTTTACTTACACTGTGCTCCCCCGTTCTATGAATACCTCGTTCCTGCCACACTCAGTCAGCCTCCGCTCCTGCTATATTTTCAGTAGCTCGTTCACGTACAGAAGAGGAAATTGAAACACAGCAGGTTGCTTCTGCACCTCCTTTCCTGGTTAGGCAGGCAGTGGGCTAGCTGAGAACAGAATCCCCTAGGATGGCCTTCGGGCGTCTTCACTAGAAGGTCCTTCAGTTCCCCAGACCGACCAGGGGTATTTTTTGGTAGCTTCTACCAGTTGACTCTTGCTGGCATAATGGCTTATTTTTCAACACTACAAGAGAAAAAGTTAATGGTGTGACTTTTAGTAAATTCAGATCCTAAGAGAAAAATCCTAAATTGTCTAGGGCACCCTAGGAGATGGTTAGCTGGCTTTCTGCTCATAAATGAAGGTCCATTTCTGGCCTGAAAAAGGCTTTGAGGTTCAAGCCCCATCATCACTAACCCAAAGAACAGGGCTGTGGATGCATGAAGACCAGGAAATCCATCGTGTGAGGAAGGCAAGGCCTGATAGTACAATTCTCTTGCAGACTAGAGAAGGCAAAGGTCAGGACAGTTCAGAGGCCATCTCATGAGTGTAAAACATGATTTTCTTCCTGAGGAACCAGAAGATAACAACCAAGAAATGTAAGGTGTGACATTCCCTTCCTTACCAAGCCGCCCCTTACCAACCAAGACTGTGCCAAGTCTTAAGGCTGTTATGTATAAATAACTCAAGGGATTGTCAGGTAGCAAAATAGTGCATGAAAGATGTTTAACTTATTAGCCTTTTAAAGAAATAAACAGTCTTATCTGGCAGGAAATGCAAATAAGATGAGGTTACTGAGACCTTAAAATTGGAACAATTTGGTCTCCCCCATTCTCTCTTAATTTGCACTCCTAAACCTCTGTCCGATTTTATCTTGCTAATCACCCCTCGTCTTGCCCTCAACAGAGCAGTAGCCCAGCTCATCACCACTCACCCTGTAACACGGGCCCTCTTCCAGGGCCCTGAGCCCCAGGCAGTAAGTGACCGGGGGCTCCTGGGGCTTCATCTGAGGGTGGAGAAGCAGACACTCTTTCGGGGAAGGGGGCTTGTGAGGTTCCCAGGCAGAAGCAGGAGGTGCCGAACCCACTGGCCGGATGACAAGCTGCAGAGAAAGTGAAGCCAAAAGGAAACATTTATAGACACTCCCTGTGTAGAAAGAGGGCAGGGACTCCGGCCAGGCCTTCAGACTGAAACCAGGTTGTGAAATGCCTTCGTTTACGCCTTAACTGCCGAAAGCGTACCTTTTGGTGGACGTTGGAAATGGCTTGTGAATTCCCCAGTGTCGACGATCGCTTCCCACCCGCTGTCAGCGATCCCACTGGGAACCAGCAGGGGTCGCCCTCCTCATGTGCCAGTGCCATCCCAGCCTAGGGCTGTGTACAGAACCCCCAATTAGCAAGAGCTCGGCTGCTCCCCCCAGCGTTCGTGCTCCCTCTTTGGCCTCTGTCAGACTTTACTGGCAGGCCAGCATGCAGACATCCCCACCGGGACCAGCAAGCTTTTTCTGCAGGAGCCCAAACAGTAAATATTTTCAACTTTGCGGGCCATCTGGTCTCTGTTGGAGCTACGCAACTCTGCCATCGTAAGCATGAGGAACAGTCAGACAGTATGTAAATGATGGGCTTGGTCCTGTTCCAGTGAAACTATTTATGAGCACTGGAATTTGCATTTCCACACATCGCAAAATGGTACTTTGGATTTTTCTGTCACCACCTTTAAAAAGTCATTTTTAGGTCCCAGGCTGTACAGAAACAGGCAAAAGGCCAGATTTGACCCCACAGGCTGTGTGGCTTGCTGAGCCGGGATGGAGGCTCTCGTATCAAGACTCGATATCAGGGGGAGGCAGATCTGTTCCCATAGGGACCAGGCACAACCAGGATGGCCCTGATTCAGAACAACTCTGGACCACGGGTCCTCAGCTAGACCCCAGGTTCTTGAATAAAAACCACACCTGTGTTCTGCAGCTAAGGAGAAGGAAAGCCTCAGGGGCCGAGAAGCTCTGCCTGAAGCAGAGACGACGGAGGTCCGAGGGGGTCTGGGAGGAGCGACCCCGTATGTGTGCCTTTCCCAGGATCCGGGGAGCAGATGGTGTGAGAGTGAGGGCACCTGGGAAGAGTGCAGGGCTGGGGAGCAAGGGTTCCCCAGGGAACCGTGCAGTAAAGGAGTGAGCCACATCTGCCCCCCTCCTAGCTGCACTCACCTTCAGGTAACTTGGGTTGAATAAAAGATTCATCTTGGGGCTGAGGGAGGCATGGAGAGACATAGTTACAGCCGCGCTCTAGGCACCGCCCAAGCTCACTGCTCATTAACACGTCCTGCACCAGCCTGAGGCAGGTTTCCTGTTCTCAGAGCCCCACAGGGAAGGAGCCGGCACCCCAGCCAGGGAGAATTGCAGAGGATGGGGGTTGCGGGTAGGTGTTGAATGTCTCTACTCCTGTTTCTAAGAGCTATACACCCATCCCCAGCAATAGATAGGCACTAACAGGATGGGTTAGAGTTCAGTGCAGCCGACAGCACCAGGAGGGGTGGGCGTAGGGTGAGCGAGAACACCGTGGGTAGGTGCTCGCCGGACACTTCACTCCCCACCCCAGGCCAGTGAAGGTGCAGAAGGATCTAGGTCTAGAAGCCAGAGAGTGGGCCCGGCACTCGGGGGAGTCACACTTACTGTGCAAATTGGCATTTGGGTCCCTCAGGGCAGAAGCCAGCCGAGTAGTTAATACACATTATTCTGCGGATGTGGCGATATTTACACAGGGGACCTGCTGGGCAAAGAAAACCGCTAGAAGGATCTTCTTTAGCTAGTGGGGGAAACACACATGTCAAAGCTTACCGGCAAGGGGAAGCACCAACTTCCTAGCCACATGACTGAGATGGGAAAGGGCACCTCAGAATGTGTGGGAGTAGGTGTCAGCTGGCCAGGCCTGAAACAGTAGCGTCAGAAGTGTCCCTAACGCGCTGTCTTGGAGGACTTCATGGATGTGGGCTGTAACATGCTTTTATTTATTTAGCTGTAGCAGGTTTGGCTGAGCAAAGGCCAGCCAATCACACATCTTACTAATCCTCCTTCAGCCTCCATCCCCTAAAATCCTCCCCGAACCAGGGCTGCCAGGAGCTCAGTAAGAACACCACACCCAGATACCGGAAAAGAAAGGACGGCGGTGCTCAGAGCACGGGGACTCCAATGGGGGCCCTGCCTCCGAACTTTGGCCAGATAGGGACAGTGAAATGTATTTACGTGACACCCAGATGGGAAGGAACAGAGAAATGTCTCCTATGGGTCAGACCCGATGCGCAGGGCTGCCCGAGGGGTCCTACTTCCACCCGGCCCACCGGCCCTCAGGGGAGCTGGTCTCCTTTTCATATTTGTTCAAGGTTACACAGTCAATACATTCTGAAGCCATTGGGATTTGAACCCCAGTGAGCCTGCTCCAAGAAGCCCACCATGCACTGCAGAGGGTTTCCACTGGGGGGAGCTACAGAGGCCTGCTGTGGGATTTCAACCTGGGGCGGACCTCCACAGGCCGCATGAGGAATGTGCATCCTTCCCCTGCCGGGAGACTCCCCCCAAGTCCTGCTCCCCCATGTCCCCTAGAGCCCCCTTTCTGTCAGGGCCTCACCGTCCTTGCAGAAACCTTGGTCATACCACGGACAGTCCCGGGTCTTGAAGGCCGGCTTCACATGGAGAAAGGGACATTCCTTGTTGCTGCAGTCACCTGAAAATCCCAGAGTTCTTGGTGCATAAGTGGGTTCATGTTTGCAGTCACTTCCGCCCTCCCGGAACAAGACTGACCCTGCCCCTTGCGTATAAGCCACTTCTCTGCCTTCTGGTGGTCAGCAGCTTTTTGAGGACAGCAAGATATTTATTTCTAAACCTTCCTGCAACCTAAGAAAGGCGGATCGCAATCATACTGGCTAAGCGGGACTTGGGTGTGAATACACACATCTGCAAGAGTTGGGGCAGGGCCAGATATCTGGAGGTATTTAGAGGCAACTTGGGAGGAAGGAACGAGGAGAGATGGGGAAGGGGAGACCCAGAGCCAGCAGCTTAAGGTCCAGGAAGGCATAGACGCTGCGTGAAGGTGTTGCCGTGCAGGCGGCTAAAGCTTCATCTCTACGATGAAACCTCCATGGCTTCCAGAGTAAAGGGGTGCAGTTCTTTCTGGGGGAAATGCCAAGAAGAGCAGAGCACTGCTTCAAAGCTGGCACAGAGATTAAGATAAATGCAACACAGAGGGACACCTGTAGTTTCGCAAAGCCTGTGCCGTAACCTGTCTGTGGATTAGACCAAGACCCCGGGCTCCTAGGAGGAGCCAGCCCTGTCTGCATAGACCACAGGAGTTAGGGAGGGAATCTAAGCACTCTTAGCTTCCCCTTAGGGACCCAGGGGCTCTGAAGGAACCAAGGGGGAAGATTCAGCCCTGTTTTCACCTCATTCAAGTAGAGAATTGGTGTTTCCAATCTCATCCTCCTTAAAAGCCTACAACTTAACAATGAAAGATCAGAAGGAGAAATTAAGGGAACAATCCCATTTACCATCACATCAAAAAGAATAAAATACCTAGGAATACACCTGCCTAAGGAGGCAAAAGACCTGTACTCTGAAAACTATAAGACGCTGATGAAAGAAACTGAAGATGACACAAACAGATGGAAAGATATACCGTGTTCTTGGATTGGAGCAATCAATGTTATCAAAATGACTGTACTACCCGAGGCAATCTACAGATTCAACGCAATCCCTATCAAATTACCAATGGCATTTTCACAGATCTAGAACAAAAAGAATTTTTTTTAATTTGTGTGGAAACACAAGAGAACCCAAATAGTCAAAGCAATCTTGAGAAAGTAAAATGGAACTGGAAGAATCAGGATCCCTGACTTCAGACTATACTATAACGCCAGTCATCAAAACTATGGTACTGGCACAAAAACAGAAATACAGATGAATGAAACAGGACAGAAAGCCCAGAAAGAAAGCCACACACCTATGGTCAATTAATCTATGACAAAGGAGGCAAGAATAAACAATGGAGAAAAAAAAGATAGTCTCTTTTCAATAAGTGGTGCTGGGAAAACTGGACAGCTACATGTAAAAGAATGAAATTAGAACATTCTCTAACACCATACACAAAAATAAACTCAGAATGGATTAAAGACCTAAATGAAGACCAGATACTATGAAACTCCTAGAGGAAAACATAGACAGAACACACTTTGACATAAATCACAGCAGTATCTTTTTGGACCCTTCTCCTAGAGTAATGGAAATAAAAACAAAGATACACAAATGGGACTTAATTAAACTTAAAGGTTTTGCACAGCAAAGGAAACCATAAAGAAAACAAAAAGACAACCTAAAGAATGGAGAAAATATTTGCAAATGATGCGACCAACAAGGGATTAATCTCCAAAATATACAAACAGCTCATACAGCTCCATATCCAAAAAACAAACGACCCAATCCAAAAATGGGCAGAAGACCTAAATAGACGTTTCTCCAAAGAACACATACAGATGGTCATTAGGCCCATGAAAAGATGCTCAACATCACTAATTATTAGAGAAATGCAAATCAAAACTACAGTGAGGTATCACCGCACACTGGCCAGAACGGCCATCATCAAGGTCTACAAATAATAAATGCTGGAGACGGTGTGGAGAAAAGGGAACCCTCGTGCACTGTTGGTGGGAGTGTAAACTGGTACAGCCACCATGGAGAACAGGTTCCTCAAAAAACTAAAAACAGAGTTACCATATGATCCAGCAGTCCCACTCCTGGGCATATATCTGGAGAAAACTATAATTCGAAAAGATACATGCACCCCTATGCTCATAGCAGCACTATTCACAGTATCCAAGACAGGAAAGCAACCCGAATGTCCACTGACAGATGAATGGATAAAGAAGATGTGGTACATACATACCGTGGACTATTACTCAGCCATAAAAACGAATGAAGTAATGCCATTTGCAGCGACATAGATGGACCTAGAGATGATCATACTAGGTGAAGTAAGTCAGACAGAGAAAGACAAATACCATATGATATCACTTGTATGTGGAATCTAAAGAAAAAAAACACAAATGAACTTATTTATAAAACAGCAATAGACACACAGACAGAGAAAACAAATTTATGGTTACCAAAGGGGGAAGAGGGGAGGGATAAATTAGGACTTTGGGATTAGCAGATACACACTACTCTATGTTAAACAGGTAGACAACAAGGACCTACTATATAGCACAGGGAACTCTACGCAATATTTTGTAATAACCTATAATGGAAGAGTCTGAAAAAAGAATATACATCTATTATAGAATATATATATAGAACTGAATCACTTTGCTGTGCACCTGAAGCTAACACATTGTAGATCAACTAAACTTCAATACATTAATTAATTAAAGCTTACAACTTAGCGCTTTTCAGAGCCAAAAGGAACGCCATAGTGTCAATTCCACTGGTTTCCGAGCAGCTCCAAAGAGATCTACTTTTTACATTGGGCTTGTGCAAAGCAAGGTTCCACCTGAACCTTCAAGAGTACCACTCCTTCCCCAGAGTTTCAACCCCACTCTTATCCAGTTCTCTCATTTCACAAACGAGGACACCAGGTCTCTCGGCCAGCAGGTGGCACCGCACCCCACCCGCCCGTCTGCCTGTCAGAGCCCCCTGCCCAAGGTACCTTTGGGACGAGCACATCCCAGAGCAGAACCAAAGCCCCCAGGCTTCCTAGCTCCTTTCAACTGCCCTTTCCCACTCCTACATCTCCCCAACAATTTTTTTTTTTTCAGGCTCCGCGGCCATGGCTCACGGGCCCAGCCGCTCCGCGGCATGTGGGATCTTCCCGGACCAGGGCACGAACCCATGTCCCCTGCATCGGCAGGCGGACTCTCAACTACTGCGCCGCCAGGGAAGCCCATCCCCAACAATATTTTTTAAGTAAAACGATTTACTTCCAATGAGAACTGTAATTATGCTTTGATATTAGAAAAAGGTATTCATTCATTTACTCCAAGAGCAAAAAACACGGGTTACCTATTGTAACCACCAGTGTATACGTCCGCCCTCACAGTAGGGATTATTTGAGAGCAGAGCGGACCTAGTTCTATTCCCGTATCCATGCCCAGCACGACCCCAATCCCCCAAAGAAAGCCAACCGAGGTTTTTGAAAGAATAAAGGGGCATTTTAAATTAAGAGCTTTTTAGGTGACGCGGCCAAGGGGGACCAGGATTCATATACACTTTGCCCTTTCTTACAAGGGACACATGCGGGCAACCCTCATGAATTGCCACCGCCAGGTCTCAAGTCCGAGGAGAAGGCAGGAAACAGAATTTGAGCCTGGGGGCTTCCCTGGTGGCGCAGTGGTTGAGAGTCTGCCTGCTGATGCAGGGGACACGGGTTCGTGCCCCGGTCTGGGAAGATCCCACATGCCCATGCCGCGGAGTGGCTGGGCCCGTGAGCCATGGCCGCTGAGCCTGCGCGTCCGGAGCCTGTGCTCCGCAACGGGAGAGGCCACAACAGTGAGAGGCCCGCATACCGCAAAAAAAAGAATTTGAGCCTGGGGGAAGCTCTTACGGACCTTGGGGGGTGGGGTACCTTCTTCCTGGATACCCAGGAATGCCCCCCCATGGACACTAATGAGGAACAGCTGCCCACAGCCCCCCCGATGTTTCAAAGCCAAGCCGCCTCAGTCAGAGGTGTCCCTGGAGGCTGGCCCAGCTCTCCCTCCAAGTCCCTCTTCGGAATACAGTTTGAAAACTACTAGACTAGATCATCCTTAAGGCTCCTTCCAGCTCTGAAAAGCACTGAACTGTAAAAGTTTATGGAGAAAGATAAGACCTGAAACACATGCACAGATCCCGTTCTTAAACCGGCAGTGGCTTCCCCCTATGTAGCCCCTCAGATGACAAAAGACTTGAGTCAGAGGGGGGTGACATGCGGGTCCAGACCTGACCACACAAGGTCATTTCAGGGGCCAAACTTCTGAAGCTCGCGATCTCCCGTTTACAGTGACTTTCTATTGCCAATCAGTGATGCCAGTTTTCCATTTACCGAAGCAATGTAAAGTTTTCTTCTAAAAGAGGAGTTAAAAATAGCAAGACGGTCTATTGCCAAGGAGGCGATGGTGCGCGTCGACGGGGCAGGTGCTTTGTGGAGACCTGGAGCACCGTGAAAGTGCTTGCTGTTTGGGAAACACTGGCTCCGACTCACCCCAGCCCATCCCGGGGCTTGAGAGAGGGCGTGTTCAAGGCTCGTTTCCAGACAGCCCATCTGGGTGCGTGATTAGCCAGGAGTGGACCAGGGAGGGCAACCATTCAGCCTTTGATTCCAGCCCTCTCCCTCCCCCGGCGGGACCGGCTGCGTGTGCCCGAGCCTGCTGGGGCAGTGAAGCAGGGCTCAGAGGACAGTTCCAATTTTTCTAGGGGGTTGGAGAAGCAAGGCCCCCGCGGCCTGGTCTGCCCACCTGGGACACGCGAGGCCTTTGGGGGCCCCTCCCCGACTTCATCCCATCCCTCGGCCCCCACTGCTACCCTCCGGGGTGTGTGGGGGGGAACCGGGAAGGGGCATTACCGACCGAACTTGGAGTAGAAGTAGCACACGGGCATCC